TTCATTTTCGCACAAAACCTCCAAAATGTGTTGGTCAAGTCTGACGTTATTGCCGCATTACTCAGATGTTATATCATCCGTGTCTTGTACTCTTTGGCTTCTGGTTCTTGTCATCATATCATATGATTCAAATCTAGTCCTCTTCTGCTTGTGTATTTTTGGTTTTCGGATCCTTTTTTGCTTTTTCGGTTGTTGATGTTGTTTCGTGTCCATTACCCTATAGTGGATCAATTGAGTTATATTGTTCAAATTGTCCCTCAAATCTCATATTAAATCACCAATTTCTCTTCAAATAGTCATGAGAGAGAGATTCCTTTTCCGAATATCGATCAATTATCGATCCCTTTCTCTAAATGACTAGGATAGTTATGGCAAGTTCTAGTCCCTCATTTTTTTTTTAAATCTATAAATTATAAAAACTTACAAATCATAGTTATTTTCCTCAATAATTATTTATGTAATGATCATAATCTTTTTTTTTTGTTAAACCTTTTCCTAAAATATTTTAAAACAAATATGTTAATTGTCATTTATTTATTTATTTAATAATAGTAAAATTTAAAATTTTACTCTAAAATGATGATGTTCTATTTATAGTGATAGTGATGGTGATGATGGTTAAGGTCGGAATTATAAGCGTTTTAGAGAATAATATTATAAAGATGAAGATCCTATGAACAATAACATGGCAAATCTATCAAAGCAAAAATAGTAATCGTGACATTTCCTTAAATTTTGATATTTTCTCACATATGGTTTAGTTAGACTATTTCCATTCATAATTAAAACTAACCCAAGTATCCATTAAAAAACTAAATTTTCACAATTCCATCTATGCAACCAAACTAAACACAAATGTTTACTCAAATTAGCAACCCAATCTAAATTTATTTTCTATTAATTAAGTACCATTAATACAATTTGTAAGTATTTTAGTTATATAAAAAATATTGAAAGTTAATTATTTCATTTCGAAACAAATATAAGTTTTGTTGCGAAACAATCTATAAAAATATATATTAAATCAAAAAATATTAAACCTACGTTTTTATATCTATAAGCAACCCAATTTAAACTAATTTTCTATTAAATTAATATAATTCATTATCACTTTTTATTCATGGTGTAATATAGAAGTCAAAATAAATTAGAAGAAAAAAAAAAAAAGTATTTGAATTGAATATTGAAATATATGGATTTTATATTTTAACGAAGAAATTTATTTTAATGAAATTTGGTATTTCTTTATGTATATATTTTAAATTAAATCAGATTTTGTTATATGATAGATTTTTTTTTAGGCTCCAATAAACTACTGACCACAAAATATATCCCAACTTATGTTTGAGGTAGAGGCTCCCTCGCTTGTTTTCTTGTTATTTCATTTTATTTTAATATTTTCTTTGCAACCCAACAGCTAAAACAATCACCAATGGGTATACCCTTGTGACTTGCTGCTAGTTAGTCTTTTTTATTTATTGTTTAAAGTTTAGATAAAATGATGTCCATAATATTGTTAAGTCTTTTTTATTTATTGTTTAAGTTTAGATAAAATGATGTCCATAATACTGTTCAATTATATATTACTAGTTGTTCGCTACATATTTACGTATTCTAGACATTATAAAAGGTCCTTGGGGATGAAATCTATTCTCAAACTTGTATTATTTGCAAGTGATCAAGTCCTTTCGGGAAGGTTGATCGGATGTGGGTTGTTCGATCTTCCATATTAGGCTATCTGGAGTGCGAGGACTAACCCACGAGTGAGGCTGAAATGTCCGGCCAAAAGGACGTGTGAACACCGCCCCAATGGCCGGTGGGTTGGGTATGACGGGATTGCAAAGACGTTCCAAGACAATGAATAGGAAACGAGGGCAACAAGCAACGATCAAAAAATTTGACCGGATTCTTTTTTCTTTTTCCTTTTCGACCGTTAAACCAAAGAAATAAAATAAAAATAAATCAATTTAAAAATCATACACTACAACTATAAATACCGCTTATTTTACTTATATTTTACACTACCAAAACACACCACTTTTCCTATATTCTTTATTTTCTTCAACCTATGGATCCAAATCATAATATCTCACCTGCCCCAAACACTCCGAATGATTCATTTGCAAATCTTAGTTACATGAAATTGATAACATCTTCAATCCAACAACAACCTCTATTCATCAATCTTTCATACCACCCAAACTACTACCAACACAGTACACCACAATTCAATCAACCCCAATTTTAAGTCTTTCAACAACAACCTTCTCCACAATTTCAACCCAATCTTTTCAACCCCAACAATTTCACGCACAACCTTCACAACCATCTCAAGTCTCACTATCTCAAACTCAACCTATAAACCTCGACAATGAGGACGACGAAGAATGGGTCCAAGAAACACAATCAAATCGTAGAAGGCAAAAAAAAAAAATCAAAAGATCCAAAAAAAGAGAACTACGCAGTGAACCGAAGATGAGGAGGAAGCTTTAATTAAAGTTTGGATTTTCATATCGCAAGACGAGGATGTCGGCAACGCGCACTCGGGTCAAGGTTTTTGGAATAGTATTTTAGGCCACTTTCACGCATTATTAGGAAGAAAACGGATTGGACATACAACTCGGTCAATGCAAAATAACGTGACCTTCGAGCCGTTTGCACCAAATTTAATGGCATATTTGACAATCTTATAAATAGCACAAAAGTGGTAGCAACGATTTCAACATTTTATCAACTGTGTGCTACCAATACAAAATTATCAATAATGGTAAACCATTCGGCAACCAAAAAGTGTGAAAAGTTTGTCGTAATGGTCCAAAATGGGTCCTCTATCCGGAAACGACGCATTCAGGATCTACCACCAGCTCTAACAAATGGCCAAGAATTTCCGAGGCGGACGTGGGTGTTGGCCTTGGCCTCAATGATGACTACGACACCATCAAAGGGGAGGGTCCACCGGACGTCCAACTTCGTTAACCACCGGAAAGGGACAAGCGAGAAAGGCGGCATCTTCAGGCGGAAAAGCGACTACCGAGGACGCACTGGCGGAAAAAATAGACAAAACTTTAAGCATTTTAGGGAAAAAAATGAATCAACAAATGACGCTCGTCGCCGAAAAATAACATTTACCGATCTTCAAATTTTAAACACAAAGCAGCAATCGTTCGACCCGAAAAATCTAGCCACGTTTTAAAAAATTCAATAAGAAGTTCGCAAAAAATATAACAATTAGATTCTATGTTTTTTTTTAGTAATTTAGGTTTAATTTTCTATGTTTTTTAATTAATGGAATGTAATTTTAATTAATGTAAAATATTTATTTATGTTTTAAAATATGTTTTTTATTTAATCTAATGTTAAAAATAATATATATATATATATATATATATATATATATATATATATATATATATATATATATATATATATATATATATATATATATTGTGGAGTGGTAACCATTTTTAATGTCTAGTGGTTTGGTAATGAGTTTGTATTTGTAGTGGAGTTGACGTGACGTTGAGTTGACAACATTTTTTGAATGGCTTCGGTGTAACCACTCTCCATAGCATTAATAGAAGCATGTTGTTTGAAGGATACTCCATGGTTAAGGTTAGGTTGGACCATCATCACGTTCAGATTTACGGATGAGTGTGTTTCGGTTTTGACATAAAACAAAACTCAAACAGAAAAATATCGATTTACAAATATCTAAAACCAAAATTGGTTAGTTCAGGTCTTGATTTTTTGTTTTTTCCTAGTTCAGTTTCAGGTTTGTCTGTTCTAAACCCCAAAGCTTTGCACTTATCTTTTTCGTCACCAACCAATGACACTTGCTAAGTCATGGTACAGAGGATGATTAGGGTCGGATGTTTCTTGTTAATCCGATATGGGGTCCTCAAAGTTCAAAGTTAAATAGCATAGAGGTGGGATGACAACTTATATAATAGGTGAGATTGGCGTTGGTTTCGTCCTAGCATCAATGAGGGGTGGAGAATTACACTTGGAAAAATAAAATTCTATTTAGTGTACAAGAACCAAACCTTAGAGAAAAGATAGGCTATTTGAGATGGTGGAATAGAGGTTTTTGGTTGTGAAGATGCTTTACATGTTATTCGTTTGGAACAATCATATCCTCAATGTAAAAAAAAAAAAAGAGAAAAATATAGGGTCTTGAATGTTTTGGTGAAAGGGATTTGGCTTTAGTTATAGAGGAGATGGTGTGGATTGACATATGATATGCTTGTTCGATGTAGTTTTTAATAGGTAGGCATATGAGGAGGTGGACTGGAATCTCATGTGGGTATGTAGGGTGGGTTGGATGGTTTGCATGGGTGTGGTGAATGAGCCAGTGCCACAAAGAGTGAGATATATTTCAATGCCAAATTGTTCCTCAATTTCAAGTGACAAAAATCTAGTGTAAGGAACTTATGGTGCCCTTTTCTTTGTAGTGGCATCATTGACTTTTATGTGAAAGAACATGTAGGCATAATCAAGGATGAGTCCACTGTGTTCGGATCCAAGATTTCTTACAATGATCCAAACAAATTTACTACCATTATTATTTGTTACCAATTTAATGAAAGTAATTGTTTTATTATTTTATGTCAACAAAAAAATCTTTTAGAAAATTACATAAAAGAGGGAAAGAATACTTTGTAATTGATGCAAGGATCAAGTCATCTTTAGAAAACCTAACAAGAAAGAAACCTCGCATTATCTCCCTTTGCCCACAAACTTCCTTTTACAAGAAATGTCAAAAAAAAAATGACAAATCCAATTTTAACCCCTTAATGCAACTCCAAATTAAGAGTAATATACAACATTTAGTCATTGTGACAATAATACTAGAGTTTTTATACTATAGTTTGGAAATAATTGGAGTATCCAAGTAATTTGACATCTAAACACTTTACTTCCATATAAAGATATTCTTTGTATGGAAAATTATATTGTCAAATACTTTTGGCACCCTCATGCAACATTATATATAGTTATGTGGGACATTCTTATTCTTTTGTGACACGAAGAAAGAAAAAACCATGAACAACTTCTTCAAATATGTTTTTCTTAGTGGGATATTTCTCTTACATTCATTAGAAATTTCATTTGCTTCAATTGTTTCAACTGGCGATTTCAATAAAGATTTCTTTGTTACTTGGTCTCCTAGCCATGTCAACACTTCTACCGATGGTCGATCAAGAAGCTTGAAGCTCGATCAAGAATCAGGTAAAAGAAAAAAAGCTTCTTTAGTGAGATATATCTTTACTAAAAATTATAAATATGTTTTTCTTAGTGGGATATTTCTTTACCAAAAGACCAATATACCCCAATTAGATATAAGTATAACTTTAAAAATTATTAGACTTTTAAAGTGATAGATTACAATTATTTCATATTCCAATGCTTTTAACAGATTTCATTTCAATTGTTTCAAGGTTCGGCGTTTGCTTCTAATGACATGTTTTTGTTCGGCCAATTTGACATGCAAAGCAAGTTGGTACCCGGTCACTCCGCAGGCACAGTCTTGGCATTTTATGTAAACTAAAAGAAAATCTTCATTCTTTTTTTTTTTTTTCTAAATAATTTAATGAAAAAAATACTTATTTTAAGTGTTTTGTGTTTTTTGTTTTTTTTTTACAATGTAAGCTTACATCAGATCAACCTAATCGAGATGAAATAGACTTTGAGTTCCTTGGAAATGTACTTGATCAACCTTACATTCTTCAAACAAATATTTACGCTGATGGTTTTGACAATAGAGAAGAGAGGATTCATTTATGGTTTGACCCCACAAAGGATTTTCATACGTATTCAATTTTATGGAATCTTCACCAAATCGTGTAAGCATTTTTCATGACAAACTCATTGAAATTCTTGAAATGTTACGTATAACTCTCCCATATTTTTTGGGTGAGAAAAAAAAAATTAATCATTTGTCCCACAAACATGATTAATAACCGAAAAAAAATTAATCATTTGTCCCACTAACATGATTAATAACCAAACACAGTACAACTTTGTCTTGTTCTATCATGTCATTTCCTATCAATTTCAGTTTTAGCACAAATACCAAACACAGTACAAGACTTCTTGTACTGTCATGTCATGTCATGATGCGGTCTGATAGATTTGTCTTTTTGAGTAGCTTTATGGTGGATTTTGTGCCCATAAGGACATATAGGAACCATGCGGACAAAGGGGTGGCGTACCCTAGATGGCAACCAATGAGCATCAAGATGAGCCTATGGGAAGGTAGCAATTGGGCAACAAACGGAGGTAAAGACAAAATTGACTGGTCAAAGGGGCCTTTCATTGCATCATTTGCAAATTACACGATTGATGCGTGTATATGGAAAGGGAATGCAAGGTTTTGTAGAGCAAATAGCGAAGCAAATTGGTGGAATAAAGAGGAGTTGAGTTCTTTAACTTGGATGCAAAGGAGATTGTTCAAATGGGTTAGAAAATATCACTTAATTTATGATTATTGTCAAGATTATAAGAGATTTGAAAATAATCTCCCAAAAGAATGTTATCTTTCAAAGTATTGATCCTTGTGGTGTTCTCATTGTGATAAAATGTTTATAATAGTTATGATTGGTATTCATGGTGTTCAAATTCTCAGCAACAGCTAAATGCAAGAAATAGCAATGTACTTTCTATTTTTCCGGTTTATTATATCTTGACATCTTTGTGCCATGTCATCATAATTAAAATAATTTGAAAGTACAATACTGTAAAAAGAAAAAAGTAAATTACATTTCGATCCCTGAGTATAGCTGATTTTTGTAGTTTTGGTCCCAGAAAGTTTTCTCTTGCAATTTTGGTCCTTGTTTGTTCTTGTAACATATAGTCATTTTACTTGGAACAAGGAATCAAAAAGGTTACAAAATCTTCATATAAGGACCAAAATTACAAAAGAAAACTTTTTTAGGACCAAAGTCCAAAACCGGCAATTTACTCTAAGGAAAAATACAAGTAAAAAGCTATACATTGCAATTTCTTGCACTTAACCCTTGTATCCAATAGTATTTGATGTATACATATAAAATAGATGAAAGTACATTTTTAGTCCCCAAGTATAGCTGATTTTAGCAATTTTGGTCCAAAAAAGTTTTTATCGCAATTATACTCCTTATTTGAAATTCTTGTAGCGTGTTTGGTCCCTGATCCAAGTAAACTAACTCTCTTTGGTCCATGTGTATAGCAGTTTTTTGCAATTTTGGACCCAAAAATAGTCATTTTACATAAAACGGGGACCAAAAACCTAAAATAAGAACCAAAATTGCAAAAAAAAAAAAAAAAAAAAAAAAGGACAAAAATTGAAAAAATCAACTATACTCAGGAACAAAAAATGTAACTTACTCGATAAAACAACGGTAATTTGCACGAATGGTCCATATGGTTTAGGGTAATTTGCACATCTGATCCCTAACTTATTTTTTTAACTCGGAAGATCCCTACTGTTTGTTTTTGTTACACACTTGGTCCCTGTCTTACCTAAAAAGACTATTTTGCCCTTGATTTTTTAATTTATTTAAGTAAACACACCCCCAACCCCACCCCCCTCACATACCCCACCATTTTTCCCTATTTAAATAATAGTATTTTTAGGTAAGACAAGGACCAAGCGCGTAACAAAAACAAAAAATAGAGACCTCCCGAGTTAAAAAATAAGTTAGGGACCAAGCGCGCAAATTACCCCAAACCATAGGGACTATTCGTGTAATTTACTCATAAAACAATAACGATCCAGTCGGCTAATTAGAACTTCCTTTTGATTAACACTTACTCAACAATTGCAATATATATGGTATAATACAAGATTAATACAAAGTCAAGGGATCCTAATTTATCAAACTAATATAATGTAAAATGTAGCTTAAATTTAAAGATGATAACATTAAGCGATTAAGTAAGTACCTTTATGTCATGCTACTGAATTGTGCAATGAATAAATCATTCCAAGTATCTGTAATGCCAGGTAAGCACCAATGCATGCAATCATCATGCTTCTTTCCACCAGCTGATGATGGATGAGCATCTGCTCTAAATTCACTCATTTGTGTTATATCAAGTAACCGAAAAGCAGAGCCTTTAATGGCTTCATGTATGTGTTCATTCACAATTCGTGTTTCCACATTTGTCCCATTATTTCCCACAGAAAAGAACTTTTCAACCTGAATTATGTTTAAAAAATTATTTGAAGAAAATAAATCAAGGGGCAAATCTGTAATTAGCTTACCTCTTGTAGTGATAATGGCTGTGAACGTGGACAAGAACCACCTTGGTCCCAATCACCACCTTCAAAATGCCTTGGGGATTGTGTGCGAAAAAATAAAACTGTCCCTTGTTTTGACTTTTCTTCCACGTAGGATATCTGTGTAAAAAATTAAAAATATAAAATAAAAATATGTTTGTTTACCAATAATAAAAGTATGCTGCTATTACCTTGCAATTTATATAAAAAGAAAATTAAAACTTACCATTCGTCTCAATACTACATCAAGCCCGATTTCAGGAGATAAAGGAGGTATGATTGGTTGACCATTTTCATGGAAAAGCATGGGGGATTTTATAGGGTCAAACTTCGAAGGGGCCCACCACCTGAGGAATATTTATATTCAATATAATAATATATATACATAAATATATGTAAGTATATTACTACTATTATATACCAATGGCCAGTGTTAAAGATGAGAACATTATGAAAACTTGGAGCATCTGCCCAAGTTCCTTCAGGCACATCAACATCAACTCTGTAACCCTCTTTATACCCAAGAGATTCCAACTCACCACCTTTGGTGTTAGCCGACCACCTGAAGGGCAAAAAGGTCATTTCACTAGGGAAACAATGACACTGCCAAAAGTTGATTCATAAATGACACATTTGTCACACACTAAAAACAGCTTACCTACCATAACGTGCCAAAAGATTTGTTCGGTGATATGCAATAGTGAGGTTGTATTTTAAAAAGGTAAAGGCACGATCAGCGCCAGCTGGACGCCACTTTTTTACTTCACTAGTGACATGTCGAAGAGAACAGAAAAGAGAAACAAACATGTTCCTGTTTAGGGAGTCACCAACAAACCCTGCACTGTTTAAAAGTTCATAAGGTCTACAAATAGCATCTTAAAAAGAGTTTATAATTGTATACTACAATACTGGTAATATTGAGAGATTGTGTAGTTTTGACTGATAGTAATGTTGAATCTAGGAAAATGATTACTAATGGCATTGTGACCTGATTTTACCTATTGAATGTAAGAGCTAGTCAAGAATGCTATCATTGATCAAACATTCAATGCAGATTCAATTCATTCGCAAATTGAAAAAACTACTGCACTGAAAGAAGCCCTAGAATGGGAGGAAGAGTCGCCATGAAAATCTTAAACATAATTAGAGTTCTGACCATTGATCAAACACACAGTCCTCACAATAAGCAAATGTAGATTCTTAGTTTGGACCTCTAGGTAAGTTCCAGATACTCGGAAGATGCCAGCTTATCTAAATCTAAAGTGCTAATAAAATTTCTTCAAAGTTATAGAATTCCTGCAAGTTCAAAACTAGTTCACCGGTGATCCAGTCCGATGAGATGGAATTTAGAGCCAGTTAAGGTGTTTTTGTTAGTATCAGGGGGCATTGTACATGTAAACTACGCCGGCGTACACTAAAAATTGCATAATAATAATCTCTGAGCAATACATTAACGCGGAGAGATTCGAGTTCTGATATTAATGATAACTATGTCTCTTACCGATACTGATGTTCCTATATGATTCCAGAAACCGAAGTGGATCAAATTGTGGAAGTGCACAGTGATTAGGTTGCCAACGCCACTTAACAATCTCCGCCGCACCGGATCTATTACCAGCGACGCAGTTCCAGCCTTTGTATATCTCCTTACACGTCTCGTCATACCGTGGAGGTCTGACTGTCGGATCGTAAAACCACTTGCCCTCTGAGTAATCGCAGGCTGCTGATGCTGCTCCATTGTCATCGTTGTTTACAGAGACGTATTGCTTGGTCGGTTTGAGCGATTCGATGCGCACTACCGGCGGGGATGAGTAATAGGCAAGGTAGTGAGAGGAGAGGAGAAAAAGAGAGGTGAGGGCGATGATAGAGACGAAGATGTAGAAGTAGGATGTAGAGGAAGATGAAAGAGGTTGATTAGGTCGCTTGAAATGGTGGTTTGAAGCCATCTGTGGTGGTGATGGCGGTGTTCCCCGCCCTGAATCCGGCCACAGTGGTCTGTGTCAAAATGTTCTCCGATAGGCCCGTGGAAATTGCTTTGTTATGTCAATCGATAAAATTCGTCGAATATGAACTAAACTGAAAAAAAAATGTCAAAGTGAGGGGTGAATTCATACATTTTAAAGCTATTTTCATTTTGTTTGCTTTTATTTAAACATTTCTTTCAAAACCCACAAAAGCTTGACTTGTTTACTTTTCCTCTCTTCGACAAAAACTTGATGTGATACATACAATTGTGATACAAGTTTATGCATATGCAAATGTTGCATGATTTTATATGTGTTGTTATTCTTTAAAAACTAAATACATGCAATCAACCCCTTTAAATTTGGCATGATATGTTTAACTATACTTTGTGACAAAATATCGAATCACTTGAACCGGTTCGACCCTAGTCCAACCCAAACAATTTTAAAAAATTAAACTTTTGAGTTTTAAAAATATAAATCAATATTCAAGTGCACTATTGGGGATATGGCGTGTGTGAATAGAGCTTTTGGTAGCTTTTTAAGGAATTTTTTTTTTTACTTGGTAGCGTAAACTTTTATCTTTTATTTTAAACAAAATACTCTAATTACAAAAATCACTTCAATTATTTTTTGAGTTTTTACGAAGCTTTTAGCTTTTTAGTTGTTAACTAATTTTACACATCTAAAAGTTAACAGTTAATTTTGTCAAACACTTATCCATAATTAAAAGCTACAATTTCCACTTACTTGTTAGTTTCATCAAACACGCCCATGATATTCATAAAATAAAGTTGACTTTTATAACCTTTATTGTAACACCTATTTTTTGTAATATGTATTATTTCGAAAGATGTGGATTGATGTAAGACAAGTGAGTGAAATAAAGCATAGAGTTGCTTTAAATGAGATAATTGTTGTTTAGCATAATAAAGTTGAGAAGTTGATAGATCTTTTAAAGACGAACGCATGGATATAAAGATCATCGAAAACGGTGTTCATATGAGAAAGTTATAGTCATTTGAAGTTGAGATGAAAGTATGTTGCTATTTTGAAAAAGTTAACAAAAGTCATGTCAACGGTCAACTTTTGACCACCACGACGTGGAGGTAAACTAACCACGATGTGGAATTGAATAAATCATTGAGACACATGTCAACTAGAGAATGACACGTGGCAATATGATCACCACGACGTGGTATGAGGCAAAGTCACCAAGACACTTAGCAGGAGAGTGTAACACGTGGCGAAACCAGGGTTCACTTGATCATCACGATGTGGCATACTAATGGCCACGATGTGGCAACTACAGAGTATAAATATATAACTCTCGTGTCATTTGAGAGAGTTTTGGCATGCATAATCGGAGATGCTACGTAGGATCGGAGTGTCGCCACGTCATCCGCACAGTGTAATTTTTGTAGATCTTCGGATGGCCATAACATTCGCATACGAGCTCTATTTTCAACGTTAT